CCGACTACATACGGTTCTAGTTGTAACTTGTGTTAAAATAATCATTATGTCAGACAATCTATTATGAAATTCTTCCGAGTAATTGTCCGTTTCCAAATAATTGATAAATGTCCACATCCATTCGGGTGGTTCAAAGTTGAAGTTGAAGAAGGTTAAAAACGCTCTCATCGCTACATTTAAATACAACGATTTTAGTTTTTCCACTACTTCAAACTTTAATGCAGAGAACAAACCGAGATCTAAAATCATGTGTATAAAGTCCAAATGAAATTTCGCATAGTGCGCATATGTACAATCAAGATCGTTCATTTTGTCATTTATTGCAATGTGAAGATATTCGTTTATTTTGTCCTTATCATTGATTAAGGGTTCTAGGACTGTGGAAGGTTGTTTGTTTGAATTTTCACGATTAAATCTACTAAAGGATTCCAAAGTTTTTATATTATCAACGTAACTTACCAAATTAATTAGAAACTCTGTTTCCGGCACATATTGTGTAGATTGAGCTTGTTTGCTGATGAATATCATACACACGATCGTCCGATAAATAATTTCTAACAATTTCATTTTAAAAAAAAAAAAACACGAAAAAAATTATCTGCGATATAATTTTTTCTGGCGTTATTAAATACACTCAATTTTAAAATGTAAGTTTAATTTGTAAGTATCAGCAGTTTCCATATTATACGCTAAAATGAAATTTACCGTGCGTATATATTTTATTCATATATAGGGTGACAAAGCAAAAAATAGATAAATGACATCATACGTACTTAACAGGCCCAGATAAGGTACAAAGATCTGTTGCTGGCAGAACAGGGTAGGAGGGTATTCGAATTACTATCGCCAGGTAGTATAGATCTTAGCCAAATACACACTTTGCGTTTATGAATAATAATTATAAAATATACAAATCTATTATAGTACGGTATATTGGAAAACATTTTCCCGAGAGTCCCTTGTTTTTTGTGGTACCCATCCTGGTATTTTACAAATCATTTTTATTATTAACGATATCTTATATCGTTATTATGATATTTCGAAATATTTTTTTATTTTATATAATATGTTTGATATTTATAAACATTAAAATATCAGCTTTATAATATCACGGTCAAAGAAAACTATAATCGGCATTTCACCAACCAGGTATTACTTTAAGTCTTTATCGTATATTTACACTGGTTTTATTGACGCACAACAAAGAAACATATTATATTTGATTTAAAAGTAGTGACGTCACGTGGATAATATTAGTTACTACGTGATTTCAACATAGGCGTTCAACAATACATAGTCAATTTAACTAGTTTTCACAAATATTCGAATATTAAGATATATTTAAAAAAATATTTATTCATATGTATAAAACACGTATTATTTCGTTCGTATTTACGATTCATGTTTTCATTAAGTGTTTTAACCGATGGGTAAGCTTGCGTAAAATAAACGTGCTTTCAGTAATCCAGTTTTTGTTTTTAAAAAAGCTGCGACCATTATACAATATTTTGAATGAGATTTTAGGAACTCGGGCTGTATTTAAATTAAAACTAACTAACTAATTAAAAATATTATAAATATTTTTTACAAAACGTATTCAAAATATCATAGAACACAAATATGTTTTCTATGAGTTTTACTCCAGTTTATTGGTACTAACACATCATACTTGAACGTAAAATCAACAAAAATAATTTTATCTTCATATAAAATACCACATGGTAATGTTTATCCGATATTTGTTTTTTTTTTAAAAATACTAATATATTTCGATACTTCAGGTATAAATTTAATAATATATATATATATATTAATTATGTCGTCTCTAACATTGAAATTCAATAAATTAATGGATCGCCATTAAATTTAATTTTGTCCACTATTTTCCCTATATCTACCCACAAAAAGACAAACCTAAAAGTGGAGTATCCATCGTCAACAGTTTGGCGGAAATTAATATGAACGTCAACATTTATTTCAACTAAAACTTTATCTATTTTCGGAAATTTTAGTACAAGTTTCCATTTAAAAATTAAAATATGGTGGTGGTTTCACCACCAAATATTTAAGGGTGGTAAAAAAATAAAGAAAATGTAATAAAAAAAAGTCGAATATATTTCGCACGTGGGTGGGCCGCTGTTGTAGATGAGAAGTTTATACGGTACAGGGGAAATTTAATGATTAACAGCAACGATGAACCATCGGTAACGAAAGATTATTCTGAGAGGAATTCGGTTAATAGTGTTTTGTCAACAATATTTATGTCATATTATGGTAAAATAATTTAACAGGAATTATGCATTCTCTTTTATAATATTTGTTTAATATTGAACCGATTTTCCTATTTTTCCTACGTTTTTCCCATTTATTGGTAAAACTCCAAGGATAATAAAAAAATGTTTAAAGTACCTTTCCATTCAGATTTACTTTCAGAAGAAGTGCTATCATTATAAATCAGAGCGAAATTGATGGCAGAAAGTCTTTGGAGTTTTAACTCCGTAAGATTCGAATTGTGGCCACAGGATCTATTTTTTCTGAAGTACGTGTCTCTTCCATGTTCCCTAATATTATGTAAATAAATTCATAAGTTAAAACTCATTTTTGAATTATAAATTGCAGTCTATTGAGGTACCTATATATTTAACATTATCATCAGTAGTTCAGTATATTTCTATTGCCAGCTGTTCCCGTTGTAATACTTTGAGTCCTGCATAAAGTCCTACATCTAGTCTATAGAAGTACATTGTTTATTTTTAGTCATCCATGGCATTCGGGGCCTATCCAATTATCGTAACATGTACTGTTAGTTTTTATTGTAATATCAGTTTTTTTAGTTATTTTCATGAAAAGTGACCCTCGACGGTAGCGCTACTGGTGACGCGATTTATGAAACACAGTGGTTCTAATATTGGCCAATAGAAAACTGGTTGATATAAAATTAATGATACAGGTTAACAAATAAGTAATTAATTTAAATTTTCCGCGCTTTGTTTGACACTTGTTATAGAGCCCCTGCGTCAAAATGTTCACCGACCGCGCTACCACCGAGATCAAATTTTATAAAAACAACTATACCTAGTTGAATTTTTAAAATTTTTTTTTATTTTTCGTTATTGTTGTTTACTAAATTTTATGTTTTTAGGCTTTGTTCCGAAAAAATTAAAGAAACATTTAAATTCATTTAATCCGTCTCTAGTTCGTATTTTTAGGTTAAAAAAACAAATCTAATACAAATTGTTGATATGTACCTATGATGTATTTGTATACTTCATTTGTAGCTACTAATAAATAAAAACGGTAATGACATTAATGTACATAAAATGTCAAAAACATTGGGGACAATAATGTTAGTATATTTTAGATATTTGAATTATGTATCTTGTAATAAATTTTACCTTCCTCCTCTGCTCTTTTTTAAATGCTTGGCCCTTATTAAGTGCCCATTTAATACGAAAATTGACATATACCTACATGCATTTAGTCACATTATAAAAATAGCGTATAAAATACACGGTTTACATTATTTCAGTTTAGATACTTACAAAAATATTGTTCACTTAATTTTAATAATTCAAGATTTCTAAATATTACAAAACACATAAAAAAAAATGTCTTAGAAAAATGTGTTTATGTTTTGTAGAAATTATCCTTCGTATGATTATATTTCAAATCATAGTGTTAGTATTATTTATTAGTAGACAGTCTCAATCTGCACAGTATGGACCGGAAACAAATGCGCTAATTAATTTGGTAAGTTTCACGGGTAATATCAAAACGTTGAGATCGCTTAATGAATCTGATTGTGAAAATTCAAACAAACAACCTTTCACAATTCCAAAGTTGTTAAATAATGACGAGGAAAGAATTAAGGCACATCTTTACGAAAAAATGCGTAATAAACTGGAAGATCTTCATTGTACATACGCGTACTTCGCCAAACTCCATTTGGATCATTTACACGCAATTTTAGATTATAATTTGTTTGATGAAGAAATATTTGAAATGGTGGAAAAATTAATATCATCGTATCGGTATTTGGCAAAAAATTCAATATTGACATTAATAATAAACTTAAACTACAAACCACACGATCGGATGTGGGAATTGATTTATTTTTTACAAAAACCCGAGAAAACAGAAGATTTTTTTAAAAGTCTGTTTAATATAATGATTATTTTAACAAATGTTTTATCTACAGCTGTATGTAATAGAGAATTAATTTTATCTAAATTCACTGGAAATTCATCGTCGATAGTGTTAAAACATGATACGGGGTTCGTAGATTGGCCAGAATTACGAGAAGAAATTCAATGTTACAAAGAAATTTATTTTTGGACTTTTAAAAACATATCAACTAAAACCTCTGAATCACATTCGTCTAATAAAACTACTAAGATATCTATGATATATTTAAGTGAAAAATTAAGACAAATCACGAGGGATATAAAATATAATATAATATTTGGTACATATTTTGTATTACATCAGAATAAATCGATATGGTCGTATGCAGAAAACGAGAAGTACAGATTTCTTTTACAGGAAAAAGTGAAATACCATAAAACATCATATAACATAAGAACAAAANCATCAAAAGTTACTATTACTGATGGATATGATGTTTATAACCTTTATGATGCAAATATTAACAACATTTATACTGATGATGAAAAAGCAGCGATTCAGTATATAGAGTATCGTTTAATTAAAGTCGGTTCATTATTACAAATTAAACAATGGCATCCTATAACCAAGCAAAAAGTTGATGAATTATATAAAGAAACTGATCAAAATGAATTAGACTCTTAAAGAAAGAAGAATGCGATGATAAATTTAATTACAGACGAGATAATGGACGATTTACAATGCTTGTATATTTATTACGCAAACAATGATCTTACAGAAACACGACATATTGTAAATCATATGGACATCGTGTCTGATGGACGCAAGAAAAATCTGAATCTAAACATACATCTGGTGTTCAGGTATTTAGATGTATCATTAATGACATTAGCTACTTTTATAAATACCGCATATCAGCCTCCCGGATGGATGGTCCTAGTAGTTCTATATTTGGAGAAAGTACTCTATTTATTTGAAAACATGGATTTATTTAAAACTGAAACAACAAAAATACTAAAAATTATAAAAACTGCTTTTGATCTATGCAACCCGAATATAGAAAAATCTAAAATACTGGATATACCATTAGAAAATTTACAGGTAGGAGTTCAATATAAAAATATTAAATTATATACACGTTGGCAACGTGAAATAACTGGAATGAAAATAATTGACCCTACACGTAGTGAATATGTATCAAACATGTATTCAAATTTAATTCAAATAGAGTATTTACTTGATTTTAACGCGAAAAACTTGAACTATTTAAATCCAATTGACTTTCACGAATTTCATCCTTCAAAATGGCTATTATTCACCAGTATTGAATTAAAAGAAGACGCAGTTGAGACACTTTAATGGGATTCAATACGACATGAACGAAATAATTCAAGTTGGGAAAAAGTTAGGAACAAGCTGTTAAATTACATAAAATCAAAAAATGTTGAACCTGAAACTGACGGAATTACGAGAATAAATAACTCAGTTTTTGTTAACAGCACAATATTAAATTTCTTAACAGTGGCCATCATAAGATTAGTTTTAACATTTATAATCGATTGTAATATTATTGGAGAGTCGCATTTAATTATGGACATCAATAATAAAAACAAATATGTTGAATACTGCACTAATGTTTCTGTACCAATAGAAGAGCTTAATAAAATTTCAGGGTTGAAAAAACACAACTTTTTCTACGTATTATTGGTTATAGAACTAGAGAATTACGAACTTTGGGTATCCCAAAATACTGGAGCATCAGAACAAAGTTTAAAACATTTTACCACATTATGTATTCTAAAATTAAATGAAATTTCATTGAATATGAACATGAAAGCTCATAACCCTATAAACTCGATTTCGCTTACAAATGACACACTAGTGAATATATGGAGTAGGTCGAAAACCCGACACGAAGTAGCTGAGTTATATTAATTAAATTTTAAGAAATATTTCGTGTCCATTTATAAGGATGTAGAGAATATTCATAGACACTGTTTATTAATTGACTCTGATGACTTGCTATGGCCACACGCAATTTTCGATGAATCAATTTCTTCTTCACCTTCATCCCTAGAAAATCGGCTCAGGTATTATTATTCTCGCACTGAAATAATTTTGATAAAACGTTGATACCCAATACTTTCATTTTCAATATCATAAAATTTAAACATTTTCAAATTTTGTTCTTACACAAATAAGTATAATTTATACTTTGCAATTAAATAATTTTTCTTGTTTTCTTTTGTTAAATTTTTACAATATGGTCTAATAATTGTAATGATTCAGTATCAAGGTTCACATAATTTTTATTTACACAATCAAAGATGATATAACATTCATATTTATCCATTGTATACATATTCATCGATTTTCTACTAGAATACTAGTGCCGGGTTGCATAAAACTATACGGAACCGATAACCAGCTATCGGTTCCGTTAATTTGATAGCTCTTATCAAAAACATAATTATTGAATCCATAAGATGTAGAGTCTATTTTAGTTCAATAAAATTTGCAGAACTGTTTGACCTTTTGATCATTTAGGTAATTATAATTTTTTTATCGCGAAAAAAACGTAATTCAATATCCTCGCGATTAATTTTCTTATTCTGTGCGACTATTTACCGTTGTAAATAGTTATTGCTTACTGTTGTTACTATTTTATTGTTGTAACAACATCATCCTTTAAAACTAAATCAATTAATAGGCATTTTTCCGTCTCTGTGAACTTTCTACCTTGTTTTATTTAACATGCCATTTTTAAATAATTAAAAAAAGAAATAAATAAGAATAATATATAGGTAAAGAAGAATGTTTAATGTAAGAATAAAATACAAGAATGTATAATAAAATAACTTGATAGTGAATTATCACCTTATAATTTGATATATTCATATTGATAACTGAGCAAGTGGTTATAACTATACTTATCAAATACAAATAATGAAATAATTTTACGCAACGCAAACTGTTCAATAACTGTAATTTTACAGAACAGATAGATTATGGAACCAATAGTTTACAGAAGGGTTTTTTATGCAACCCGACGTAGAAGTTTTACTCTGATTTTCAAGTTTTGCACCTTTTCCGTATGGAAATAATATCTAATTGTTACTTTAGGGTTTTTCTAAATAATTGGGAATACCATAAATAAACAAATTTACGGCGTTACTAGGTATATCATTATTTTAAATTTGTACGCTTTATGTTTTATAACAGAAATATTGCTCCAATAAAAAAACGACTAGGGATTATTCATTTCAATCTTTTAAGTGATTAAGAAAGTTGAATTTCCTTGAAGATTTTTTTTATTACTTGAACAAAACTGTAAAAAATCGAAGAGAAAAAAAAACAATTTATGAGAATATAATGCTTTTATTATTTTTAAATTTTTATATTTGTTTATAATTCAGTTTAAAATATTCTTAGAGACTTTAAATTTAGAAAAATACCTTATATTTATCTTTTATAGTGAAGGTAAAATGTTCAGAATATTTTAACCGTTTTCGTGGTATTTATAGACCGTTTTTATAGGTAATTTTTATTCGGTAGGTAGTCGTGGATAAAATTGTTGATTAATTGAAAATGCTTGAAAATTAAACGGAAAATTCATTATAATGTGAAGTGTATAATCTCGGTAATAGTGTTTTTAATCGATTTGTGGTTTATCCGAGGTGGATTTACTGGCTAAGTTAGATACTAATGGATTTGTATGGTTGAATAATTTGATATGGAATTTTTTGTAGTCGTTTTTAGCTGTAATAAAAACTGTTTTAATTATTAGGTCTTTGTACAGTGAGAGGTTTGAGATGTACCGTGGAGCAGATATTATTTAGCGAAGAGAGATTGACTGGTAGGCTTGGATAGTATGGATTTGAAAAGGCTTGGCATACCCTCAAACCATTGAGCCAGATAGGTTTTATTCTTGATTTGTATATTAATAGTTTGTTGTTTATTGAGAGCTTGGACTTGAAAATAGGGCATAATAGATGAAATCTAGTTTTAAGAACATTTTATTTTAGTTTTTAGGCGTAGACCTCAAGTTTTACGCTTGTCTAAAATTAGACCTTAATTTTAGTTAGAGATGTAGTTGAAATTTAGTTGTTTTGAGAGTAGATTACAGGGAGACATTTTTTGTTAGAGTGAAGGGGATGTGAAAGGACTTATCTTGATTGATTTTGATTCTCCACTTGAAAGATCATTCAAAAATATTATCAAGATGAAGTTGGAGATTTTGTTATGTTGTTGTATCGTCGGATTGATATGACAGAAATGCCGCGTCGTCAGCATAGGTATCGATGTGTTTTCGGAGTTGAGAATGTCAACTGCGTTTTTCCTATTTTTTTTTTTTCGGTTTTCTCATTTATTGAGAAAACTATTGTTAAAATCGAAAAAAAATACTCCTTAAAGTACTCCCCTCCCACATCGATTTTCTATCAGAAAAGGTGCTACACATAAAGATCAGAGCAAGATATCTAATAGAAAAACTGCTCGCAGAACAAAAAGACATCTTCGTAAAACTATACGTTTCAGGATCTAAAATACATAGTTGATGAAATTCGATGGGATTTAATTCTACACGATATCAATAGTAAAAGTTGAAAAAGGTTAGGAAAAAACTATTAAATGGCATAAAACAAAAAATTTTAAACATGAAACTGACGGAATTACGAGAACTCAGTTTTCGATTATAGCACAATATTATATTTTAAAATTCCTGTTTATTAGTTGACACTGTTGGGTTACCAGAGCCATACGAAATTTTCGATGAATCCACTATTTCCTCAACTCCGATCCTTGGAAGTCGGATCAAGTATTATTAATCGTGCTCTAAACCTCGTAGACCATCGGAAATACAGGGTTTTATTAATATAACTAGCTAAGAATTAAATGCTACAATGTAGGACTTTTACAAATAATTTTCATTTTTACTTTGTATTATTTTTATGTATAGATTTTCTTCTTTTTTTTAATGCAAATTTGATGCAAATTACAAGTACTTTCAAAAAAAAAGAATGTTGGTTCAATACAAATAAATTCAAAATGTTATATATACATTGTTAAATTATCTACCATGATTTATAATAATATACAATACGGTTTAATAATTTTACTGTTTCATTATTATTCATATTATTCAATTAATAAATACAAAAGGTTTATCAAAGTTATATTTATCACTTCTAAGCTATATTTACTAGGAATTAAATTAGATGGGACACAACAAATTAGAACTGTTTTTTAAAAGTACCTACATTCAAAGGAAGATTTTAACCTCGTAGCTTTTTTTTGTATGCATCCTGGATTAATTAATTTATTAATAATCGTTTTAATAGAAATTTATTTTGTTATA